CAACCTCGCCGTCTTTAAGCATAACCGATACGAGACGTGAACGGAATTAGGGATTTTCTGACGCAATGAGTCACTGAAAGAATTTTATGGGAATTCCCTTACTTCTAGCAAAAATATATTAACGGGAAAAGTACCACCAGACAAAAGAGTTTAATATCTTTATAAATATATAATTAATTCACATTCAAAAATGAAAGTGAACGGGCCCATTAAGAACTAGTCAGGTGTGATCAAACTGTTATATTTGATTCGGTGCTAACTTTTAATGCACATGTTAATACTATTACTAAATCTGCAAATAAAATGTTACAATTTTTATTTCGTAATTGTTAAAAGTTTAGAACTGAAGCTGCCTTAAAGTCACTATACTTTTCATTAGTTCGTTCCAAATTAGAATATGCTTCTTTGATTTGGTATCCGAAGACAGAGTTGCAGAAGAACAGCACTGATCGGATGCAACACAAATTTTTAAAGTTTTTAAATTACAAGGTTAGGGGTATCAACCCCCCCCCCCCCCTCCCCACGGATTTGATTAAAATGTGTTTCGTAATAGATATAATGTACAGTCCCTTGAAAATAGGAGAAAATTAATGTCAATTTCTACAATTTATAAAATACTTCATAATATAATTATTGATTGTTATATTCTATTCGAAAGACTTTACTTTTTAGTAACACGACAAAATGCCTGGTCGTCCAACACGTTTTCTCTTCCTATTCACAGGACTAACCTGCTAATAAAATCACCAATATCTTGTCAAAATGTTAATATTTTGTTTGAATTGTGATAGATTTTTGGAAAAACTAGCACGTTTTGTGCATAGTCAATTTGAATTTATAATTTTAATTTTTAATTCTAGCTTTATTATTATTTATTAGTCTTAGTACTTATCTTACAACTACGAGTTCTTATCTTAAGACTACGGTAGCGTAGGTGTCTATGGTAGCGTAGGTGTCTTCGGCGCCGCATTCTTTTGTGAGTCAATTTTATGGTAAAACGAGACACAGTTTCGAATCCTACGAAAGATCATGCGAATTTGTTTCCATGATTCTCTATAGGATTTGATGGATGCCCTATTAGCAGAAATTTAATTTCTGTTGAAATGGCATCCCGATTATTAACAAAAATCGCCATGCTTTACCGTTTTCGATGATGGTGGGTGGCTTTTTCGGATTTTCCTCTCCTGTAAGTCAAATGGAACCATCAATCCCCAGACAAGCTCAACTTTTGGGGTTAAAATTCACTCATAAGAGGGTGAATTAGGGAGAGTATTCTTATTATCTCTGAATTATATATATATATACTTTTTTTTTTTTTTTTGAAAAACTTGCACATGTTTTGCGCAGAGTCAATCCAATTTTTATAATTTTTTTTTTTTTTTTTAATTTAAAATTTTTATTTTTTTAGCTGTCTATATATTTTGTTATTATTATTTATTACTATCTTAGTACTTATTAATATTACTCTTAAAAATCTATTAATGTTATATTTTGTCCTATCTTTGGATGTTACATATGTTGGGCAATAAAGGATTTATTTACTTATCATTGTGATTAGGTCCCTCACAACCATCACAAAGGAGCATTACTTCATCATCATCAATTTTCCTACATACCACACATTTTAACTTCATCTTGGAATCACCAAATTAAAAGGCCTGACCTGGTTATTCATTATTTCGTACGGGAAAGTTTATTGAGTACTTTATCAGTAAGTAACAATTTTTCGTAAGACTGCCTTTAACTGCAAATATTCCAGTGAAAATCAAATGACTTCACGATGTTATATCACAGTAAGAAAAATGATCACCAAATGTTATCAAAATCAATATTTAAAAGTTGATATTTCCAAAAAAAACTACAGAAATATATTAACTTCTTTTAAAATCGACCGTTCCACATTTGGAGGTTATGACAGACTTAACAAGTTTTGCATGATTATGAGTGTGGTTTTGTGCCTCAAAAACTACAGTTAGCAACTTATTTGCTTATAAGTTAGTTTCTGCATAGCAAATCGCTTGCACTTTTTATATTATAGAGTGGATCATAGAAACCAAATTTTTTTTTATTTAGTACTCGGCCATTAGAAAAGGAAGGGGGTGGGGTATGTTATAGTTTATTCCTTAACTCAAATGATTTTTCTTTCAGTAGTTTTAGTTGCCTTCATGGATCCGTGGACGTTAGAAAAACACTGTTTTGTTAGGAGTAGCGTGGGCATTGTAGTACTGATTATCTAACCCAGGGGTTCCCAATTTTTTTTATTTCGCGGCGGAGTTACAGGTTTAGCGTTTTGTCTAGGCGCATTCTAGATTTAGGAAACAAAAATTCCTAAAAGAAAGGAGCAGGTCTTTCAAAAAAAAAGGTCATCAACTTATATGACCTCAAATCTTTCTGGCCAGCTTTGGGTGAAGGACATTATTTATTTATTTATTGTAAAAATCCATTTTCTAATGGCTAAGTACTACCCTGTATAACGTATGAGCCACTTTCATAGGGTCCCATAGCGTCGATCCAATTCTTACCCGACTTGCAGCTCCGCAACGATACCCTATGTGTATGGACACCATACATTTTTGCAATCACACATATAGAGTCACTCTTACGTCGACACAAGTACTTGTGGTTTTACATCTGGCATTCGTACTCGAACGCTAGTAGTTATTTTAATTTTTAATATTAAATTGTCACTAAATAGTCAATCACGAAGTAATTATACCCGAATGAAATACCTACATACGCAGAAATATTTCAAACAACACAAAAATCCAAATTAATTCGGTGTCCAAACTATGTCTTATTAATATTTCACACCCACGTACAACCCTTCTAGCTTTCTAAAAAGTACTTTATCTTCTAATCGAATTTCATTATTATTCATCCTAAAAAGACATAGTTTAAATTTCAAATATACAGCCGTTGCAAATTTCAAACGATTCCAAAGAGCTTTAGCCAATTACGTAATTGCTTTACCTATGGGCAGAGCCAGGAATTAGAGACATAAACATAAGCGTTTCCCGCAAAATTAGGCAGTAGATCTTTAACTTTTCTCGTCGATAGTGCTCTCGGCGCGAATATAGTGCAAATTCGATTTCTGTGCCGATCCAGTGCATCATTAGCAAAAAAAGGATTACTTCAAATTTTAAAATCAATACACCACGATTGTCTGAGTCGATCAACATAAGGGTTTACTAAGGAAAGAGGATTCTAGCAGTGGTTGAGATATAAGCCGGTATTTGCGCATTCTCCTCTACTTTCTTGCGATCCTCCTGCTTAGCGCCCCTCCGTGGGATAATTACACTGGGTGAGTATGTTCTGATTACGTGGGAGACGAGGGGTACATCGTTTCCCATTTAAAAGTGATAGGGCTGTCTCCATTTAATTTTCCTCCCGCTTGCCAGCATTTTTAGGCGCGGAACCTGTAAAGGATTTTCTTCTTTTCACAGGTCGGAGTGACAGGTGTCAAGTGTCGCAGCCATATATTCTTAATAGTGTCATTTGTCAATAATATTGTTGGTTGGTAAAGACCTCCGGCTGTGTTTGTTTACATTTCGAGCTTTTAACTTTCTCTGGCGAACGACCTTGACCTTGTTTGTTTATTTTACAGCCATTTGGAGACGCCTCGTTATAGTAACGTGGCTCATTTCTTTTTATTTAATTATTATTTATATCCTATCCTAGTGATTGTAGGTTATTTGCTAATCGACATTCACCTTCCCCTATCGAACCCGCTTGACTGAGGGAGGCTTTTATTATTTTTTTTTATTATTTCTTTATTTATTTATTTTTAAATAAATTCATTAGTTTAGAACCTTTAACGTCACTTAGTTAACTAACTTAATATACTTTTAAATCATTTCAATTCATTTTAACTTATTACAAAAATGCATCACAATAATCCAGATAATTTCACCGCTGACCTCAGAAGGGCATTTCCTTCAGGGCACGGTACACGGGGAGAGTTCTATGGCTTTTCCCCGGTTACTCCAGCCCCAGCGCAAAATGCCACCTTGTGGAGACAGCCGAACTCGACTATAAATTTAGATGATTTTTATAACTTTCCAATTAACAACACTACCCGACGGTTTGCCAAATCCCCGCCGTCTGGGCCCGAACCTACCCTGGGACTCCAATCATCATATACCCCCATCGAGCGTCGGCCTACACACGGAAAATGTAGGTCAGGGGGAAGTTTCCCTGGTGAAGTGCTTCACAGTGTTGGTGATTTCGAGGAGTTCGCTACGCTCTCCGAATTATCCACCAGTACGACCATATCTCCCTCACGACCCCTTCTTAGCGAAAGAGCGGGGTCAGGGCAAAACGAACTTCACCCGAGCGAGACCCGACGACACCACAACATTTTTCTCTCTATGTTGGTCATGAAATAAATGAGCTTACAAAAGATCGTTTTTAGACAACCGATCCAAAGCATTTGTAATTATCTCAGACATGAATAGACAACCTGAAATGGCGTGGTTCAAATTTTATATGGATTATTCTAAAGCATTTTATAAGGTAAATCAATTAATTTTAGAATCTAAATTAAAAATTATGTGCTTCTCCAATTTGTAAAATACACAATTAATCCTGATGATTCATCTTATTAACTAACAGAATAAAAACAAGAGTAAATACAGTAAGACAATAGTTCCACTAGTTCTAATTATTCTGATAAAAAAAGGTGGAAAAACACGATGCATGAGTCCTAGTTGCTAAATGGCTATGAAAAGATAAGAAATTGAAATGGCTTAATCAAATCCTTCAAGAATTGTAAATATTTGACTATTTTATAATGTTCAATAGTATGAGAAAAATACATTTCAATAGTATAAAAGGGAATAGGGCCACTTACACAGCTTGTTAAGAAAAAATGAAGCTTAAAATAAAATTTTTAATGGTCAATAGAAAATAAAAATTGACGTTGAAAGCCTTATATTTATGTATCCCATAATTAAGTAGAACCTGAAAATTAACAAATAAATACATAAAAAATTAGTACTTACATCCAGCTTCATCTGAACCATCTTCACAATCTATATAGTGATTACACCTTCCACGTATTGGATAGCAACGTCCATCAAGACATTCTCCAAATCCTTGTGTAGCATTACAAAAAATGGGTCTTTGGGGTAAAGAAAAATCACTGAATACAACGAGACCAGCATATTCAAATGTTCTATTAGCATCAATTCCGAAAGTATTACTTGGAAAGTGAACAATTTCATCGGGATAACCTATAAAAATCATATTTTTTTAGAATATCGATATTAATACAATGCTGTTCCTAACGTTACCTTCATGAGAGAACCAAAGATGTCTGTGGGTGCCATTGGTCTGTTCATCAAATGTTGACATTTTCGAAATAACTTTGGCATAAGTCAGTTCATTGCCAGCTTGCATTGTGTAAAATGAACGATCGATTCCTGATAGACCAACATAAGAACCAGGTTCTCCGTAAATGGCAACCTCGACTTTATGACCTGTTCGTGCTTTTTTATTATTAATGAAAACTTGAAACTGAAACGAATACAATTATTATTAAAAGAAAATATTTAAAGAAAAATATGTATCTTACTTTATTTCGACTTATCCCATTAACAGGGAAAGTCAAACTGTCAACTGTCAAATCACCATTGTGACCTACATGCCAAGCAACAATAGTTGCTACTGGAGCCATTTCCGCACTTAACGCTATTGCCATGGTACTAACGTAATCGCCCATATCTTGATCTCCAGTTAGTAAAATTATTCCTTTAGAAATTATGAGATAACTGAATTTTTCAATGTAGTAGTTACTTCTAATGTGGAAAATCATATATTCACCAACCTAAAATATATAAACAGGAATATTTTGAAGGAGTCTAATTTTAAACCTACAAAAAATTATAAAAAAATGAAAGTAGAAAACCGTTTAAAAATCTCTCCAATATGAGATTATTTTGAAGAAATATTGCATACAATGTGTATGTTTTTCAATTCAACACCAATTCGCATCATTATTTTTGTGAATTTAAAAGTTTTGATCCAATAAACAGAGTGCCTAAAGTTATTTTCTGGGCTTGTGTATCAAAAATATCGCTTAATGGCGAATACCAATAGTTAGAGATTCTCAATGCTAATCAATTTTATTTTTGTTAAGAGACTGTACAAAACACATGTAAGCTTTATATATATGGATATGTTAGAATTTTAATAAAATCCATCCGGCAACCTCATAAATATATGAATGGTTTGCTATAGAAATTTGTGACTTCCTCATATTAATATTAAGGGTTTGTTTTGGTTCAAACAGAACCGCTGATTCCAGTTCTCAAAGACAGTGGACGAATTAATTTTTCAAGAAAACGTCGCGAGTTTATAACAACCTCTTAGCTGATCGAGTGTTATTTTGGTACAACGCGTTGATTTCAGCGTATACAATGTTGCCAAGTTGTAATAATTTTACACAACTACGCGTCAATTGCTTTAAAAATATTTTTATTTTAAAAATCTATATCTTTTTACTAACAGTCAAAAAATTCAGCGTTTCTTTAGAAAATTTTGTAACTTCTTGATTTACATTACATTAGTTTTTAAAAAATATGGTAAGAACCGCTTTTAAGATATCTTGAAATAAATGCATTACTTGTGTATATGAGAGGCTTCAAGAGTATTAATTATGCAAATTTAATTTTTTTAGTTACATAAAAGACACTTTCATTAACCTTATATTTCAATTTTATTGAATTCTTAAGAAAAGCCGTTTTACGAGTGAACTACCTTAAATGGAAAGTTTATGTTATTATCTGTTTTGCCGTTTTCTTTAAGTTTTTCTTATGTATGAATCACGAGTCACCCGTTATTTTAATACAGTCGTCTTGTGATTTCAACAGCTCTACATCGCGAGTCTATCCTAGTCCAGAATTTTTATTAATCTAACTCAACCGGCTAGGGATACGGGTAATTTGCGGGAATATCGTGGAGGACATGTAGGATGACTGATACGAGAAGACATGAACTGCGTTTGAATTGAGGCGAATGGACTATATTGGATACATTTTGAACTAAATTAATGTAAGTTTCTTATTTTTGAGTGTTTTTGAAAAAGTTGTTTATTTCAATAACTTCGATACAATTTAAAAAAAATATCAACTTAGGATTCACCCTGAATATAATCCATTCAATTCATTCAATGCAGGCTCTAATTTAGTTTGATTTCTAGACAGCACAAAAATACACAAGAGTATTGAACCATTACGTGTCTGTTTTGTGTTTTTCTTTTTCGAATCTTGTAACGGTACCCTCCACCTCCGACAAATAATTATCAAGGTTCTTATCCTCTGCCCTGCACTACATTATGTGTTGAGCATCTACTCCTTTGATGATTGGTTTATTCAAACAGTTGCCAAGTTGGCAGAGCTACTTCTGAAACTTGTAGAAATTTTCAGGCAGTGTCAATTTGCATTGTTGTGTTTTGTAATAAAATAAAATAATGTATAGCATTGTAAATGTATTTTCATGATTTATAAACTTTAATAATATTATGAAGTTACGTTTTACACATATGTAAAAGATCTTTTGAAAAGGCTTATTCAAGAAAAGATAAGTACTTATAATTGACCGAAGAAAATAAAATTCTGTGGCATTATTTTAAAATAATATTTTTGCAAAGTATATTAATTTAATTTTCAATATGAAAATGAAAAATCCCCAATTTTCCCTACGAAATTAAGAAAATTATACCCTCACATCCCCAAAGTGAAAACAAACCAAAGAAAAATTGAAAAAGCTGAGAAAGAAAGAAAAATGAGTGCATCGGCCAGGAGGCAAATCTGAAACCGCGGACTTATAAACATCGCATTTTAAGGGGGGAATCGGGGGGGAGAAAGTTTGTATGGGAGTATCGAATTTTTTAAAGGTAGGAACTTGAAAATTGACATTGTAGCTACTCATAATAAATAAATAATGACATAACATAGGGTTTTGGATTTGTACATTTTAAGGGGGAAAAATTGGAGGTGAAAATTTGTAGGGAGGTATAGAAATTTTTAAAGGGAGGAACTTGAAAATTGGAATTGTAGCTATTCATCATAAATAAATAATTACGTATTTTAGGGTTTTTAAATTTTTTACATTTTAAGGGAGGGAAATTGAGGGTGAAAGTTTGTAGGAGAGTATCGATTTTTTTAAAGGTAGGAACATTGAAAATTGGAATTGTAGCTACTCATCATAAATAATGACTTATTTAAGGGTTTTTGGATTTTTACATTTTAAAGGGGGAAATGGGGGGTGAACGTTTGTATGGAATTTGAGAGCGATTGGCAGATTTCATTTTTCTAAAAAAATTATAATAAACAAAATAGAGCCATTATAAAAAAAAAATCAAAAAGCAGGTCCTACCCTGAGCGCGTAGCGCAATAGTCCTCAAAAACAGATGCGATTTGCAATTTTGTCGATTCTAAGCGTAGCGCGCGAGTCGAGGCAAGCTATCGCTGTGCAGGACCGTACCTGTTTATAATTTTTAATTATTTTTATTTTAAATATTTTGGAAAAATGAAATCTGCGAATCGGTCTCAAATTATGCGAAATACCACTCCTACAAATTTGGACGCCAAGTTCGGAAACATACATACATACATGAATGGTGGGCTATAGAAATTTGCGACTTCCTCAATCTAATTTTAAGGGATTGTTTTGGTTCAAACAGAACCGTCAATTCCAGTTCTTAAATACAGTGGACAAATTAATTTTTCAAGAACATTTGCGGGTTATACAACCTCTTAAGTATAATTTATAACCACCGTAACGTAACTTAACTTAACGCCGTAGAAACTTAACCTAAGATATAAAAATAAAGTCTATTTATAAATGTCCGTAACGTAAGAGTTGAGCATGCGTGTTGATTTCAGAGATTATTAAATTACTGACAACCTTATTAAATAAACAAGTGTAAACTATGTACCTAACCTCTAAATAAAACTTATAAATTATGATTTTACTATATAGAAAGAATATATTAACTACTTTAAAAGCAATAATATAAAAATATAATAAAACAGAATAGTTTACCGAAGATGTTGATTGTTTTTGAGCAATATTGAGAATTTAATCTTTCCTAGCAAACTAGTTTTGTGTCTTATTTCAGTTCTAGACTTGATGTTTATAGGTATATGCAGCAACACTTATATCTCATAAATAGTTTATCCCCAATAACATAAACACAAATCATTCATGATAATGTATGTCCATCAAAAAGGAGAATGTTAGTTTACAAATGGTATTTGCCTATTCATTTATAAAAAGAATAAAAAGAAAATAAATGACAGTTATCACATGCTGAACTCAGAATTATCTCATTGGCTAACCGTAAGGTCTTAGGTTAAGTTAAGTTGTTAAGTTAAAAGTTGGCGAACTTTCTACGGTACGTTAAGTTCTTAAGTTACGTTACGGCAGTTATAAATTAAGCTTTACTGATCGAGCGTAATTCAGTTAACGAGCGTTAAGTGTAGCGATTACAATGTTGCCAAGTTGTAATCGTTGTACGCAACTAAGCGTCGACTGCTTTAAAAATGTTTTTATTTTAAAAATCTATCTTTTACCAAGACAGTTAAAAAAAATTATAACTTCTTGATTTATATTACATTAGTTTTTAAAAATACAGTAAGAACCGTTTTCGAGATATCTTGAAATAAATGCATTGCTTGTGTATATGACAAGCTTCAAGAGGGTTAATTATGCACATTTTGATTGTTATCTCGTTTCACAGACGGACAAAAAATTTCATTATTTTCAGTTACGTAAAAGACACTTTCATTAACCTTATATTTTAATTTTATTGAATTCTTAAGAAAATCCGTTTTACGAGTGAATTGCCTTAAAGGTAAGAACTTAAAAATTGGAATTGTAGCTACTTATTATAAATAAATAATGATATATTTTAGGGTTTTTGGATTTTAACATTTTAAGGGGGGAAACCGGGGGTGAAAGTTTGTAAGAAAGTATCGGATTTTTAAAAATGTAATTTTTTTTATAATCTGCATGTCATATCAACAGAAATTGAATTTCTATTAATACGGCACACATCAAATCCTATACCGAACCATGAAATTTAATTAAAAAACCACATGGTCTGGTCTGGGATTCGAAGCCCAGCAGTCTCTGACACATAAACTTGCTTATAAATGAATATAAGCGCGTTAGACCGCTACACCACCGACCCTATATTTTCTGATACCTTACCATTTTATATCTCACATTCATGTATTCATTTCCGTATTAAAAAAAATACTTACTTTGGGATCCACTGTGCTAGTAATAACTTTTATATGTTGATCAGTTGCACTGTAATGAGCTAGCATCAAAAGTTCAGTCACAGCTCGTTGTCCAGTATAACCATCTTTAAATGTAGCTTGAATTCTAATAGCACCTTTAAAAAAAATACAATATTAATGTCATAAAAATTTTGTATCTCAAAAACTATAAACTCAAATTGATAACTTTTATATGTTAACAATATATTATCTGAATATGATAAAAATATATAAAACAGTTGAAGTTTGTAAGAAGTTAACTGCCGTTTTGGTCATATTAACCGGCACAAGTAGTTTAATAAGTAAAACAAAGCCAAGTCACAAAATACGAGCGACCATTTTCCTTCGAAAAACAACTACTTCTTTGGCCAGTACCGCAACACTCTCCCTTTGATTTTGCTTACTAAGGAGAACGTGATTCTTGGACGGTTTCGTCCTGATTAGGATTCTAATGTAATTAGCAAAGGCACCTAATATTCACTAGTGTACAATTACGTTGGTTGCAAAGAGAATAAGTCAAGTAGTGAAAATGGTAATGCCACCTGCTCCTAATAAGCAAAATCAAAGGTTCTAAGTAGTATCCAGTTAGAAAACTAAGTGGAACCAAAGGCAATTTTAAAAAGGAAAATAATTCCAACTCAACGTAGTTGTAACAGGGTTCTACTAGCGACCTTTGATTTTGCTTGAAAGGTGCAGATGGCGTCAGCGTCACCATTTTTACTGACTACTTTTTCTCTTCGTGACCAAAGTTATTCTAAACTAGTGAATTTGGTGCCTTTGCTAAATTCATTAGAGACTGGAATTGAGACCATTATCTATTTATTTTCCAAATAAGGGCAAAAACTGTCCACGAATGACGTTCTCATTAGTAAACAAAACAAAAATAGAGTGTTGAAATTAAATTTCTATCTCTGCTCTTCCCAATTCTCAAATATGCATTCTTGGAGATTTTAATCTCCCTCATAGTGTCTGGTTAAATGACGACTTAATTTCGATAGCTGCACCATCATTCAAGGCATCACAAACAGAAGCTGAATCTATTATCTAATAAGTGTGCTTTTCATAACTTGTTTCAATTCAACTCTATCCAAAATAATGTAAATTCCGTTTTAGATTTTTATGCAAAATCACAATGTATCTGTAGATAGAGCTGTTTTAACATTGAACAGATTATAAATACGTTTAGCGGGCGTAAAGTGCCCCTTTATTGCCCGCGGACTAAAGTAATATTATTCGACGAGCGGGTAATGCTGGCTAATACTCACGAGGATGAAGTTTGCACTACGAGCCGCAGGCGAGTAGTGTAATCATCCGACTGAGTAACAGCCATTACCCGCGAGTAGAATACTATAGTTTTTCTATGATTATTAAATTAAATAATAGAAAAGAGTTATGCAATATTTTATTTCATTTATTTGTCCAAAATTAATTGTGAAATTAGAACAGTTTTGAAAATTAACAGAAGCTTTTGAATCCAAATCAACAGTAGTAGTTATATTTCTACTAATCAACTGGTTTTCCCTGTAGGTTGTAGTTGTGGTCGAAATTTGTTGAAAATAATTAGGTAATGGTTGAAAATAATTGAGTAATGAAAGAAATAATTGAGTAATGACAAAAAACTCACATTAATCAATATAAAGTGGATGTATAATACTTATATTGTTAAATAGTCTAAAAAAAAAATTAGTTTTTTATTTCATTTAAAAATTCACATCTAGTTAGTAAAACAATAGCTATATATTAATAAACAAACATTAAAACGGTCGTACATAAATTTTTATATATTTGTTGATAAATTGTCATTAAACGGGTCGTGCATAAAATTTTGTATGTATTTCGGGCGTAAACAGCGTTTATGGACCTTACATGTTAATAGCACTCTCCAGCGGCTCGGGCTCTTACACGTTTTAAATAATATTAATATTAAGCAAAATGTAAAGCCAAACGACTTGTTGCAAACGAAACATGCTATAAAAAACTAATCTCAATAAATGCATTTAATTTAACATAGAAAATAACCATTATATTATTATAATTTTTCTGTTCGATGTTCTGTAAAAGAAAAACAGTGAACGCAGTAACTTTTTTGCATGAAATGCAATGCCATTTTGTTCTGGGCGTTTTGTTCTGTGCTGCAACTCTCCCATATTGCTCTTTATTTTTTGCATAACATACAAAACCAATTTTTAGCATGTTCCTGTTTTTGTAGCAATTATCCCACAGTTCAAGTAATCTTTTTTCTTTCTCAAAATCAGCCATTATGTTTACGTTAGCTCAAACGCACAACAACTGCCGCTCTAGCACAAATGCATTGTCTCGCATGCATGTAAATCGACAGGTCTAAACGCGCAAAAATATGGCATCACGTCCATGCCTCACCGTCCATCCTTCTGAATTTAGCCATATAGACGGCGAGGCATCAACGCTTAGCCACGAAAAAAAAAATTAAATAATTGACAAAAACTTTAAAAAAAAATTTGTTGCAACATATAAAATTTATAAATTAAGCTTTATCAGTAAAATAAGTGCCAAAAAATGTCCCGTCCTTCAACATGAATTTTTTTTCTTTACTACCGTACTCAACGTGTTAAGCAGTTTCAATTAGGAAGAACTATTTTATAATCAAACTCTTGAAACCATGGTAGATATATTAATGTTCTATACGTACCACTAAAAAATTATGCTATTCCATGGGCCTAAGAAACTATACTAACTAAAAAAAGAGCACATAAAAAGTACAAAATAACTAATTCATTGCTGTAAGAGACTGGTAAAAGAATCGCATCACAATTACATTTCTCAAACAGAATTTTCTATACCAAATAACTTAACAGTCTTGGAAGTTTGTAAATGACAAAAGAAAAACCTCAAAATTATCTGATGAATTAATATATAATGACATAAAAAGCTCTAGTGGCAATTAAATAGTTAATTTGTTTGCTGATTTTTTTTTAAGTATATGTTCATATTGTGATATTTTAAAGGTACACGTTGTAACCTACCGCACCCAGGTACCTTAATAATTTATTAATTCCATCTATTAAATATAATATTGCATTCTTATTAAATATCAAAATGCTTCATTTAACGAAAAATCTCCCAGATAATTAAATCTTATTTACGACACCTAATAAATAATAGCTATAACCACGTCCGTAATATATCCACGTGTCTCTGAGAACCAGCCCAAAGAAAACACCATAAAACTTATTTCTTTCACGAAGTAATTATTGTTAAAGCGCTTAACTCGCTTATCTTGCTAGTTTCACCGATTTCGACAATATTTCGATACACAAAACTTTCAAGGCACATAATAAATAACCCACCCCCTGCACCCACAGTATTTCTATGAGAACTAAAGACATAGAGACGTCACAAAGCCATTAAAACTTTTATTATAAAAAGCCAGACAAAAATGAGCTAGGGCATTCATTTTCAATTATTTGATGTGCAAGCATTCATTTATTATTTGTATCCAGTATCAAGTTCAGTAATCAGTACCTTTCCTAAAACGCTCTTCCTAAACGACGTCTATCCTACAATGCCTCCTACCCCCGAAGGTGTCAACGTCTCGACGCCCAACGTCCTGCCGTCCTACTCCCTACATCTCGAACGCTGTCACATTCCTCATCATCTAAGTATTTCCTACCGTACATTCATTTCGACGCTCAACGTCCCACGCCTTATTCCGACGCTTGCCGTCCCCAAATATTTCCTTCATAAAATCACGTCCCGCACCACCTACATAATTCTACCGTATATCTGTCCTAATACAGTACAGTATTAAATACCTTCCTTTCCACCACGACGCTAGGCGCCTCGACGCTCAATGCTGCGACGTACCTAAATCGACGCCTTCCACGGCGCTAGATGAAATTAGTACATAATCTTATGTCTGTATTTTCAGTGGTGAGTCAAAGATTTATTTAACTTTCATTGAGATACCACCCCGGTTTCGTATAAGGGCAGCTTGACATTTGCTACAAAATATCAATTTAACCAATAAACCACATGGCCTTCAGGTCAGAAAGACACTTGACACGTGAAATTTTGAGTATTTTAATAGAAATTATAAAAATCAATATTAAGAAATATACAGGGTTGTATTAAGTTATTTCAAAAGAAATTATAATAATCAATAATAAAAATATATACAGGGTTATATTAAGTCATGTCAATAGAAATTATAAAAATCAATATTTTGGAAATATACAGGGTTGTGCTATCTTGGATAAATTGTACAAACTAAGATGGTAAAATTTAATAGTAAGTTAACTAACTGGCGAATACGCTGTTTGTTAGCTTAAGGGGGGACACCTATACGCTAAGCAACCCGTTCTACAAGTTTTGAAACAAAGTATATGTGAAATCAACATAGTAAGGTAATCAACTGGCGAATTGGCGCTATTTGTTACTTCCGTTGGTCATCATCTCTATACTCATCGTAATATTTACCTAAGAGGGTGCAACCTGTATATATCTACAATAGAATAAAATCAACATCAGCTCAATAGTTAACCAACTGGCGAATTGGCGCTGTTCGTTAACTTCATTGGTCATCAACCTAAATAAGAATATAAACATCAACACAATAATTAATCAACTGGCGAATTGGCACTGTTCGTTAACTCCGTTGGTCATCAACCTAAATAAGAATATAAACATAAACACAGTAGTTAATCAACTGGCGAATTGACGCTGTTCGTTAACTCCGTTGGTCATCAACCTAAAAAAAATATATATTGATAGCAAATGAATATGGTCTGCGTTTGAACGGGACTCAAGTGAGATCTCAGTAAATAGTACCAATTGTAATATGCTTTGCTAATTGTTGCATCAAATTTAAGTATGACAAATATAAAAGAGTTTAAATATGAATTTGTATGTTTTATTTATCAATTTGCACCAAACTTTGCATCGAATTCTGGTTTACCTTAATTAACATTATCACAACGTGGGTATACAAATTATCAATAAATTAACTAGACGATCACTTTTACTACTAGAAGAAAAAAGGCCAATTACAGTAAGTATAGAATTTAAAGTAAAACTTGTGAGGTAAATAAAAAATAACAATTTCACAGAGTAAAACACAAGAACAAAATCAAAAAAAGAAAAGAGGGCCTGGGGGGTGGCCGTCACAACGTATATGTAAATAACATTAATATATCTAACTGTAATATTAAAACCCCAAATTTATACTAAAACTAGCAGCCTCGGAAATTCATAAGAATCATGGGACAGATGGAATTCTTTCATCTATTCTAAAACAAATATTTCTTCATTTTAGCACAACCACTGTTCATAATTTTTTAACTTTTCGCTTCCAAGAGTTTGGAAGATAAGTTATATAACACCAATTTTTAAATCTGGCAACAAATCCGAAAGTAAAGAATTATGGAGGAATAAATATCTTGAGTACTATACCAAAATTAACTCAAAATCTGATTTGCGAATCTTTAACATCTTCGCTCAACAATATATTGATAAAATGTAAGTGGAATAGGTTCAAAAGTGTGTAAAAAATTTAAAATTTTTATTAAAAAGCACTTTCGGCTTATCAAAGCCATTGACAAGGGGGGTAGCCATGTGTGAGTTGAGGTAATTTAAGGTGAAGGGGGAGAAAAAGTCCTTTATATCTCACAAGGAAAGTCAATGTTTTATTATTTAACAAAACATTGAGTGCGACCGGTTTCGAAGTGTCATCACTTCATCTTCAGGCTCGCCATACTCTCCATCCACTAGGGAATACTACAAAACAAGTTTCATCAAATGTGGGGTGAAATAAATTGTAAAATGAACAAAAGTTTACAAGTAATAAAAAGTTAAAAATATTTGAAAAACAAATATTAGTCAATTGGAATAGTAAAATTTTAAAATATTCAAGACTATACAAAACAAATCACATACATTAAACAGATTCTGTTTAATTGACTAATATTTGTTTTTCAAATATTTTTAACTTTTTATTACTTGTAAACTTTTGTTCATTTTACAATTTATTTCACCACACATTTGATGAAACTTGTTTTGTAGTATTCCCTAGTGGATGGAGAGTATGGCGAGCCTGAAGATGAAGTGATGACACTTCGAAACCGGTCGCACTCAATGTTTTGTTAAATAATAAAACATTGACTTTCCTTGTGATATATAAAGGACATTTTCTCCCCCTTCACCTTAAATTATCAAAGCCATCTTCAACGCCGCCATCTATGATAACTTCCATATGAAGTCAATTAGATTAAAGATAGAATTGTTATCAACAATTACAATTGAAAAACGTTTAGGGGTGGCGAAGGCACCGAACCGAAAGTAAAACATTAAAGTGAAATATACTAAATTGTAAAAATAATACATTTTTTCGATCTATTATATGGGTCTAATAATTTCCTCACTTTGTTTTAATGAAATATACACAAACCTAACAAACAATAAGATATGAACTTAACAGTCCTGCCATATTTCCGATAATTCTACTTTCCTATAAAGACTATAACAATTTTTACTCCATTTTCCACAAAATAACATTGTTGTGGCACCCTGTTCACCGAGAAGATAGGAGCTTCTTACATTCAACGATTCGGAAAGAAACTAGGCTTATGTGGCAGATATCAGTATCCAGACAAGGCAACTTTTTTTTCTCGTCAGAGGAGCACCAGTGAACATGTTTAAGAACTATCTATTTTTCGAATTAAATAAAGTTTAATATTATTAACATTTAAAAAAAAAGTTTTTTGACAGGTCATTTCATAGACCTCACGTTACAGGAACGCCATCTGGTGATTATTAAAATATTACCCCTCATTGGTTGAAAAGTTACATAATGGATAAGACGTCAAAATGTACATATTTCAAACTACAAGTCATATGACATACACGTGCTGGGACCACTACTTTTTAATATTTTTGTAAATGATATATCCTTTTTTCATTTTGATAAATTCCTTTTATTTGCAGATGATCTCAAACTGTAAACTACAGTAACATCTGACCTTTACTGCATGTAATTGAAGGCTAATTTAGAAAATTTAGTCGATTGGTGAGACTTAAATGGAATGTTATTAGCTTCGTTCGCGGTAACAATCCTGAACTGATTCAGAATTAGTAATTCATAGTTTGAGCGCATGCCCGAATCATTATCAATTCTGAATTTTTACGGCGCGCGCAATCCCTATTATATCTCGGTGTTTCAGGTATAGACAAGCGGTTCAAAATCAATAATAATGTTACCGCGAACACAGAATAGAACCAATAGTTCTTTTTTTTGTGCCGCGAACGCTATTTAACTACTGCGCTTGCGAAATCGTTACTATTAGTAATAATTCGGTTCAGGATTCTTACCGCGAACAAAGCTATTATATTCCACCGAACTCTTAATACAATTAATTTTGAATCCAAAATCAGTGCCAATACTCTGGAAAACTAACATTATTAGAGATGTAGGGGTCAACTTTGACTCACACCTATCGTTCATCCCACATATGTCAAATAATGTCTACAAAGCTCTACATATGTTAAGATTTCTAAAAAGAACTACTCAGGATTTCACAAACATCAAAACACTTAAAATCTTATATTGTTCTTTAGTCTGTTATGTAACTTAGAATACGATTCATGTGTTTGGTCCCCAAACTACGTCTCACATATCTTGAAATTAGAAAGAGTCCAGCATAGGTTCTTACGGTATGTGGCATTTAAGTATGGTATCGTAGTCAAAGATATCAACTAATTTGGAAGCAAAGTTGAATATCCAATCCATTAACAGCCGTCAAAACAAAAAAGAACTTATAATGTTATATAACATCCTTAATTCCGTAGTTCCATGTCCTTAATTATTACAAGCGATAGGAATTCATGTTCCACCCAGGACTACTTTTCAAATACCCTTCCACTCGACGAATTATGGAGGTAATACCTTCATGGTTCGTTTTGCTAGGTTGGCAAATACCCACCGCATGCTGATCTCGATTTATTTGGCCCTGTCAGCCCATTTATGGAGACTTTTAAGGGTGCAGTCAAAGAAGTAGAGTGGGTAGTACGATAAAGTACCGTCTGCGCATCCATCACGAGTGTAGAAATTATGCGTGATTCCACTCTTACACATGTAAATGACAAGGAGAGGTTGCCCTAAAGCACTGTAAACAAATTTCAGGATTGGCTCTGTTCAGCGATTATGTTCATGTTCAGCTCTGTTTTTTGTTTGTTTTGTGGCTGTTGTAAGCTTTTTTGGCGTGAATTCTTTGTTATCTTGCGTATATTTGTGATTTTTTGTGCTTTTACTTCAATTTAGTATTAAATTATACTTGTTAATTATTTTCCGATGCACTATTTTATAATTGTTGCACAAAATGTTGTTAAACCGTCCCTGAATCTTGTTTAAAAAATGTGCAAAACGAAATTGTGCATAGTGTCTAGACTTTTTCATTGACAGTTATCATTCTACCCCCTCTCCACTTCATTGGGTGCAGTTTAGTATAATTTATTCTAATCTTTTTAACGAAGGTGTATTTTTTTACAAATGTACTTAATTAACTCTATTGCATAGGTGTGGCTTGTACAGTGAACCATAAGTTAGTAATGAGTCACAATAGACCCATCTGGGTCACAGTGGAAGGCGATGGGATTATCCCACTCATTTTGAACCTAACCTAACTCTATTGCATTAATATTATTTGTATTTTAACTATTAGTTTTATTAATTCATTCGTTAATTTTTAATTTTTTATTAATCTCGATTATGTTCTATAATATGATACCAAACAATGTACGGAATTTTCCCGTATTTTCCGGTATTAGCCAAAGGAGTAGTTGTTTTCCGAAGAGAAACGATCTCTCGTATCTTGTGTTGACATATTGCTTTGTTCTATTTATTTAATTGTACGTTTTGGCCACATTTGAGCTGGAATTATTTTCCTTCTTTACAAGTAATTTCATTCACACAGCGCCGGTCATATCGACCAACACCTGCAGGTTAATTTATATAACGCCAGTCATATTGGCCGGCACCAGCAGTTTTATTTGTATCAAGATGGGCAGCTCACTATTGATAACTTATGAATTACGCTTGATGGTCAAATTTAATAAGGGTTTTCTTCTAGCAAATGACGACTTTTCAAAATAAATTATAGGCATTTAGAAAATTGTTTATTAACCAAATATATGTGGTTAATGAAAAAGGGTATATCATGCTGTTATTAAAGATTCCAGTACAACAAAAAAAAAATTATAGTTTAATGCTACTTACTCATCTGGCTCAGTTCTTCATACGCTTTTGGTCCACTTACTCCCAAATCTCTTTTTAAATCGACTTTATATTCCCATACTCCTGGATTATCTTCTGTTTGGAATAAATTGTGAGGAGGAACATCTCTTCTACCCGATGTTCCTCTCATATCTACAGTTGTGATTACTTCAACAACACTATTAGCAAGAATCGAGTCTGGTAAAGGAGAACCATCATGATAAGAAGCAACAATCTATACAAAAAAAAATGTACTAATAATTAATTGAATTATAATATACATATCGACGTCAATCTCACAAAGGGACCTATCTCATTTTTCCTAATTTTACAGGAAAGCAATTTAAAGTTTTGTGCTGCGTTTGAATGAGTAGATATGGGGTCTCAAGTTTTGATTTGATCCCATCTGTAAATAAATATTTCGAGATTCGATTAATCACCGGACTGGGAGCTTATTGTTTGAAAGATCCTATCAAAAAAATGTTAAAATAAAAACTGATACGTATAAAATGTATAATTGTAAATTCAGTGACAAGTAAAGGTTATAACTGACAGTGTGTATCTAAAATAATAATGTTATTGCTTGGCAACCAAGGTTGCCAACGAGGCGAGTTTAATCCTTCAGTATAGCTGCCACGTAAAGGTATCTAAAAAAGGTGATAGTGTATGTATGACGCATGTGTTGCGGAGAGTTAAGAACGAAAGTATGTAGTGCGTTTGCGTAACTACAATTAGTGTATGTATGATTCATGTGTTGCGGAGAGTTAAGAATGAAAGTATGTAGTGCGTTTGAGTCACTACAGGAGATACGTCCCTCACGTCAAGATCTATAAAACTAAAGTGTTTCTGCAGTTGTATTTTAAAAACTTGTGAGATTGGAGAAGATATAAATAAATATTTTTTTATTTATCAACAAAGTACCTTCAGAAAAACTTTGGTGTCCTAAATATGTGAAAATTATCCACTCAAATTAGTAATAAATGTTATTTTAAAATAAGCAATAACTCAAAATTTGGATTAAAAACTTACGTATGTTGTTATTGGCATTCCAGGTTTAAAAACTTGTGGAGACCCACCCAAAAATGACAATTTGATGCTAGAATTAAAAATTCTGCCTGTGGAATAACCCTCAACTATTTCATCTAGAAATTTGTCACCAACCGTAGCTGTAATCACGATTTCCACTCCTTCCAAGGCAGGAGCGTAATGCAACAATTCCTGAATTGGATACTTAAATTCGTACACTCCGTTAAACTGAAAAAAAAAATATCTTTATTGAAGTAATTTAAAAACCTCCCCAATTTATTAATATTGACTCTATTATTTTACGTTACTTACATATTTCATACTAGGAATGGGTTCGTAATAATTCACCGGTGTTGGCATCCAAAATGGTAAAACTTCATCAAAATTGAAATATTTTTCCAATATTGGCCTGTTATAGTTACTATCTTCCTGTCCAAAGTTGTCATAGGTTGGTTCATAGGGTTGATTGTTTATATCATATGGTCTATTAGTATCATAATATGGATTCTGGTGGTCCATTGGTCTTTTTCTAGATTTTTTAAGGTAGTGTTTAGGATCTATTGGGCGAATAGGTCGAACTATTGCTTTTAATGTTAAGTTACCATGAACAGGAGCACCACTTGTGTAATTTGCCATAACTGTACCATAAATGTATGGTTCTGTATTCAAGAAAAAGCCAGGCATAGTGACGTTAACCTGAAATAGGTTAAATTCTAGTGTTAATAAAAAAACGTAATAAAAACAATGTATTTAGATTTCAACTTGACAAGAATTTATAAAAATGTATCAAAACTATAAAGCAACTTTAAAACATCTTCTGGGTTTGTAGGAATGTGTATACATTTTTCAGATAGTTTTCTTTATCAATCTATAATGATTCAATATAAAGTTGAACATTAGCTAAGAAAATAATTAATCTTTAATGAAAAACGAAAAGATTATATTTATGAGTTTACTCCTGAACCTGTACAGAAATCTTACATTTATTTGGTAGTACATTCTCTTAAAAATAAACAAAGGAACTAAAAAACGACAATTTTTCGAACCCCACCGTTTCAAATGTGTTTACTTTTCTTAAAAAAGAAAAATCATGAAAATTATTAATTTTACAATGAACGCTAAAATAATTATTCACTCTTAAATACACTTACTTCAAATCGTGTTTGATAGTACTCTTCAACTAAAAATGTTGATTCTTCAACTTGCCCTTGAGCAATAACCCTTATTTTCCATTCCCCAAACACAGGTTGGTCAGATAATTGATAATCAAGACTAACGGTACCTAAATTGGACTGTCTTGACAGCCACCTTTTCATTATGAACCCACTTGGGTCTAACATATAAACATCCAGAGCATCATCAAACGCTTTTAATTCTGTATTTATTGGTATGGTTCGAAAATGCACTACAAAAAGTATAAATTGAAATAGTTAATTTATCATGATTTAAATAGATATTAAGTACCTGTTTCTCCTTGCATGTAAACAGGCTTATCCAATTGTATAAATATTGTCATAGATCTTTGAGAAAACGTTAAAACAGTTTCATTTACAAATTGAGCACCTCCTAATACATCTTCATACAGTCCTTCTACTCGTAATTTATATTCCCCTGGAGCACTAGTACTTGGAACCTAAAAAATAAACATTGACCAATTTGGTAAACATTTCTAAAACAACTCTACACATCTTACCCTCATCAGAAGTGTTTCTGGAATACCCTCCTTAACTTTCTTGTGATCAGAAGACATTTCAACTCCATTTCTTTGAATTGAAGCCCTTACTGTTAATGGTTGTGTCTCTTTAATCACCATTGCAGATACCCTGTAGAGTTGGCCAGGTCTTACCATTTTAGATGCAACAATGAAATAAGTTCTGAAAACAAAATAAAATCACATAGTAAAACTATATTCAAGATATATTTTTAACTTACGCTTCCTTAATTAATGTTGTATGAGCATCAAAAGGTCTTCTTCCACTTTCAAAAATATTATTCCTCCAAGCTCCTCCTGGATGTTGATTTGACCCACCAGGATACTGATTTGTTCCTCCTGGATATTGATTTTGGTTATTATAGTCAAATTCGTTTTTTCCTCGATTGTAAATATCAGTTTGACCTATTCGATTTCCATACTGATCTCTTTGACCGTACGGATCATTTTGATTACCTTGAATGTCATTTTGATTGTAAGCATTGTCTGATGGTTGGCTATAAGGATTTACTTCTCCATATCTGCTAGTGGTTGATGAGGAAACTCCACTGCTATTGTAATTGGTATACGGGTTGTCCTGAACACTTACTTCTTGTCCTTTGACATAGCAGATCAGTAAAAATATGACTGGATACACTTTATTTTTAGACTTCATTTCCTTGTAGTTTATTCTGAAACATAACATAAACAAAGAAAATAATTGCATGTTTTCAAAACATTGAAAAAGAAAAACACTCAATATAATTTTTTTTTAAATATATGGCCATTCAAATTACAATCACCTCTACATAATTTACATCTCAACATTTTTAAAAATTGTAGATTTTTGGTCAGGCAGAACCTTAGGGAAAAAGCATTGAAGTATATTCCAATTTATACAGTGCGGGTTTAAAGTCCCCCTCCCCTCACCATTTATTTTTTGAACCGTAAAAGTTAGAAATTAGAAATTGAGATATGAACCCATAAAAAAAAAACTTTGATATTAAACGAGATTAGTACAGTGCCAAAGGTTAAAAATTTGTAGTACGCCAATTGATAGCATTGAAAATTTAAAGCAAAGGATTTAATATGAGTAAAATTTTTATTTTTATGGATGTCATTGGAAAGGGTTTGGAAGAAGCTTTCAAATGATGTATCACTTGCCATATGATCCCATTTAAAATTATCTTGCAATGAGTACGTCACCTAATATCATTAAAAAGGTAGTATACATTTCTTAGTTCAGTTTCCCAAAATTTTAAATTTCTAACTTTTACGGTTCAAAAAATAAATGGGGGGACTTTAGACACGCACTGTATGAACATATTTTTGTATTTATGTAATTAAAGATGAAAACTCTGCGACCATTGGGGTTTTTGAAGTCTCTTTTTTTATAATATAAATATAAGAATGTCACATTTATTATAAAAATTTATATTCATAAATATTTGTGAAATTGTGCAAGTCTGGTGTTAGATAAACATATTAATGTGATCTTCATTGAATTTTAAGAAGCATTTGGCTTTAGTTATAGAAGGTGGACTCTAAAAGAGGAATACATCCTATTTATTTATAACGATATATAACAATGTATAACAAAAAATTTACAATTGTAGTTATATGACCAATCATTTTAAACTAAATAACATAAAACACTTTTCAATTTTGGATTAAAATGTTTACCAGGAAAGTTATTTAGTTGATCCTGTGAGGCTACAATGATTAACAAAATAAAATTAAAAAAGGAGTTAAATACCTACAATTCTTATTTATTAAACCATGAAATTAGAAATAGCTGGTTATGGAGTGATGAATGTTACTTTTTTATGTTTAAGAAATGGCTTTTGTCTCATTTTTGTATAGTTAATGTTTTAATCACATTTTAAAACTTCAAAAGTTCTATTATTATAACAATATATTTTAATAAATAGTTCACAAATGTTTTAGACTGCAAAATACGAGTGAATCCAAAAATAATGAAAATATAGCTACTCTTCTAAGAAAATAAAACTTGTGGTGTCTCCTATTCTTCTGTAAAATGAGTAAAAGCAACTTTCAAGATTACTTACATCCCAGCTGTAAATAAATTATAAAGTATAATGAAATGTTTCTCTCTTTATTTATTATCATACAAAATAACCTATTTTAAATATTACCACCCTTTTTATAAGTAGTAAAAATGTTTTTATATGGCCCTAATTTAGATTTGACCTAATAAGTAATTCCAATATAAACTAATTAAAATTAAATGTTTATAATGTCAGTTAAAATTTCCTCTTTCCATAATGTTATCTAATCAGCTTTAATTTTTAATAAAAAAGGGTTCATGAAAGAGAGACTCATAATAGATGAATGGCTGATTCATATAATATAATGTACATAAATCAGTCTTGCTTTTATGTATACTAAATCATAGAAATTACTAACATAAATGTTCTGCACTGACCATCATTTTGAAGGATCTGTAGCAATTTTTTTCAGAATGTATGATGAGATTAGTATTCTGTGGAAGAAGCCTTCAATTCTTGGAGGGAAAACGTACATAATTAAATTATTTTTCTATGTATATTACTTGTACAGGGACATAAGTAAGCAATGGAATATTGAGAAATATGTCATGTGAATACTTTTTAAAATTTAGGAAAAGCACCTTTTACCAGTTTTCGAACACTCTTGACCAATTCAATTTTATTAAATAAATGTACAATATACATGATATGATAACATATAATATTAACAAAATAGTAAGCTTGTACAAATAAATAGACCTAAGTGACTTAACACTTGTATGTGCAAGACCGAAATGTAAAATATATAATAATTTGATTTAAAGTTTAGTTACTCTGAACTATATATTATGGTAGGTAGTTATCAATGGCAAAAAATATGAAAAAGAACATACAATAACATTTTTGAGATTGCCAGATACTGTTAAACCTTTTTTCAGACAGGTGACTGAAAAAGTCGTATTTTAATATTTTTTTGTTGGAAAACTGTGCAAAAATTGATTTTAGTTATAGTGTGGATAACATTTTCTGGACGTATCTGCCAGTTCGTGACGGTATTTTTTCATTGGTTTCATAGTGTAACATTTGTTTAATTTATTTATAGTTTATTCATTTAAAACACTTTATTTACATTTTATTTATAACATACTAATTAATTTATATAATACTTAGGCACTATTATAATTCTAATTTATTTATTACAATTTATCTTTTCTGTCCAACACTTAAATTGAATCTAATCTTCTATCGGCAAACTCGTGCTATTTATACAAAGCCAGCTCTGTACCAGTAGTTTCTAGATGATCTCGAATGTCCGAGACATCCCTCTCTATGACTCAACGGCCATGTACCGCTTTTTCTGGTAGCTTCTCAAAGCGGTGCGTTTGTCTCTATATGGCCAGCGCTAGACCATACCGCGGGCAAGGACTAAACAAGGAACAGAGACGGCTTTCGCCTCACATTAGGCTTAAACACACGACATCTGCAGGTTGGGGACTATGCAAATTATTAGGTAGTGAAGAATATAATATGAATATTACTCTATTTGCAAAACTTTCTTAATGTTACAGTCATTTGTGACGGTCTATAAATCATATTATGAGGCACTCTATATAGCATTCTCTGTGAATCAGGAGTTTAATACATTTTATATATATTTGTAAAAGGCATCGCCCTTTAACTAGTCTGGCTTAGATTTTCCAACAACCCAGATATCAGGAACATTTTCAATTAGTACTCGAGGTGGTCTTATATAAAGAAAATCTACCAAGAAGAGGCAAGCTTTTCCTACTGGCAGATTTAGGGCAATGGGAAAATCCAGATTCATCTTCATTAAATACCCACTCTTGAGGTGTCTTCCAAAACAGTCTCGAAATTGTCTTAGCGAAATTTCAGGACAACACTTTAGGAAATTATTATATACCTGTCACCTAATGCCAGGAGCTCCTTTTTTACCATCTACTGTCAGTATTGGTGATGGACCAGTTCTTTTTTACTTTCCTATCTGTATACAGATATATAAGGAAAGTATAGGAATCATGATTTTTTTCGACCTCCAGTTTTCGACGGATTTTTACGTTTTGAGGTCCCCTGAATTCGTTTTGACTATTTTCGCGATGATGTCTGTGTCTGTGTGTCGCATAACTCATGAACCGATACACAGAAAAACACCAAATTTTAAACTTAAGCTTTGTTCCAGCGTCCAATGAACTGATTAGATTTTGAACAGAGTCGGAACATCTGGGGGGTACTTTATAGGTGGTCATTTTTATATTTTATGGAATATATGTTATTTACGTTTGGGGAAGAAAATTCTTCAAATAAAAGTTACTTCTTATATTATTATCTATAATTTTTGTTCTATACAAAATTTTCCTAAAATGGTCTGTATTCGAGAAATTTGACAAAATGTAAAAAAATATTTTTTTATAAAAATTGTTCAAATAAAAGTTGTTTGTAATATAATTCTCTATAATTTTTATCCTATACATAATTTCTGTAAAATGGACCGTATTCGAGAAATTTGAGAAAATTGTAAATTTTGAAATTTGAAGAAAACTCAAAAACGGATAAAGAAAAAACATTAAATTTTAAACTTAAGTTTTATTTCGGCCTGACGTGAAATGATTAGATTTTTGACAAAGTCGGAACATCTGGGGGGGGGGTACTTTATAAGAGGCCGTTTTTATATTTTCGGGAATATATCTATTATTTATGTTTGGAGAAAAAAATTGTTCAAATAAAAGTTACTCCTAATATTATTATCTATAATTTCTGCTTTATGTCAAAATTTCCTGAAATGGTCCGTATTCGAGAAATTTGACAAAATGTGCAAAATTCTGATTTTTATGAAAATTGTTGAACTAAAAGTTGTTTGCGATATCGATCTCTATAATTTTTAGTTTATACATGATTTTTCTAAAATGGACCGTAATGAAAAAATTGTAGGAAATTTACATTTTTCAGTATTTTCGTTTTCAATGAATATTTTAAAAAATGTTTCGAGGTAGATGTATGTGGACAATGTATATATTTAGTTTATTTTCTAAACATTTATAGTGATGCTGCAATAGGTTGTACAAAATAACCGGAAAAAGCCTATAATAACTAGATAGGAAAGTCATGTGTTGGACACATCAGATTTTTTTTACTGAATATGTATTTGCCCTGGGTATTCCTGCTGGCTTTTCTTATGCTAATTCCTAACTGTTTGATAATCTGTAAAGTTGATTCAACTGAATCGCTGGAATACGTATGAAATTTTCGCTCTTAAATATATTTTTCAGGCATCTAAAAACGAATGTTATAATTCGTAAACAAGCAATTTAATTAAAAAAAACTGTAACAAGTGGATACAATTTCTCAATAAATCTTTGATGTAGTTAAACCCTATAATTTAATTATATTATAATCTTCTTTAGTCCGAAAACTACCCATTTTTCGGACACCTTAAAGAATGTATTATATCTCTCTCATTTAAGTAGGAAAAACGTATCCGAAAACTAGTCAGTATATTTTTAATTTAAATATGAGCAATGGAACCAAATATAAGAGATATATCTATACCTTATTTATTAGAATAAGATCAACAAATTTTTATTGTGTCATACCAATTCTCAGACACAGTGTCCGAGAAGGAGTTTTGAGAATTTTATGGAACCAGTTACCA